CTCTTAGCAGTAAGGGGTATGTTCTATTTAGCCATTAGTCGTACTATACATAGACTGGGGGGGAAACGGAGAATTTTACAATGTCTTTATCACCAGGAAATCGGGTATACTCATATGAAGATAGCAGAAGGAGTGAACTCACTTTTACAAATGGCTGGGCTGCTGGCAAGGCTGTGTCAGAAGACTGCAGCCCCTGCAGCAAGTTAGGTACTTCACTGAGCTGAAGCTTGTGTTCCAGAGAGTGAAGGCCCGGTGTGCAAGGTCAGCAGCTCTGCGTGTGTCCTCAGTCCTGCAAGCAGAGAGCCTGGTCCCTCAGTTTTACTGACTCACAAACAAATAACCAGCTTCTATTGTAAAAATGTTTTGTTACGTTTTTTACTTAGACCAATAAAGCTTTACCATTTACTTTAACCCAAGAACTCTTTCATTATATAACTGAAGTAGAAGAGAGGCCTGTGACAGTCCAGAGCAGTAAGGTCTGTGATGCACTCAGCAAAACTGCTGATGTCAGCAGTACAAAGACCTAACAGCAGGAGAAACAAAGACTGAATTGCATTGTTAGTGATTACACTTAGAACCTGGTCAGGAGTGGTCTTACCAAGGCCAAGAAGGAAAATCTTTGGCACAAAGTAAGACATTTAATGAAGTTATAATTGAGGCATGCTGAGCAGTGCCACTCCTGAGGTGCTGTTCATGGGCTGCAGGTAAGGGAGAGACTTTCACCAAACACAGGAGAAATTTTACACATTTCTTAATATATTTTGGATATTCCTTTAGCAATCTTTAAAAAACTTACCAAATTCTGGGGTGCTCTGTCTTTGAGTGTCCTTTTTTTGAGTGTCCTTGCTTGTCCACGTTAGATAACGTCATCTCACTATAGTTTCAGCATACCAAAAAGCTACAGCATCATGCTTTCTTGCCTGTTCCGTTTTGGAAACTACCTTGCCAGTGCAGATGAGCAATAAAGCATGAAGAGCAGAGTGAAAGCAGATATAAATTGAATTTGACCACCTCCATATCAGATGTGAGATGTGTGTCTCCAAGCAGAGCCATCTTAATATAATTAAGCACATTCTACTAGCAGCAGTCAAACAGAACACAGTAGAAGTACAAGTTTTGGGTTCCTGCACTTCCCCCTTCTCATCCTGTTGACATTTTCCACCTCAAATACTGAATTGCCCACACCACAGCTGTGTCACTGCCAAACTGATCTTCACTGCAGCATCAGTTCTGGGCTTAAGCCCACAGCCCAACCCCTGCTCCCAGGCAGAGGCTGCGTGCACCTTCCCTTTCTGTGACTTGGCCACAAGGGTAATGAGTTTTGCCAGCAAGAGCTTGTAGCATCAGAAGTTGCCCCAACAAGACTTTCTGCAGCCCCTCTGACAGCCTGAAGACAAGCCTATTTAATCCAAAGTGCAGGAGAGCAAGTTAAGTGGCAGCTAAAGTGCTGGCACATTTGAGCTTGTTCCAAAATGGAATAAAGCAAAGAAGCTCTTAGAATAATGGATGCAGTAATCAGAAGTACATTTTTCCTTCACTAGCTATTTATTGGACTTACCTTTTGATTCTCAGCGAGTGAATTGTCACTACTAGCACAAACACTGTTAAACACATGACTGATAATTTAGTGTGAAGGGGCTTAAGCTGCCGAGTTCTCTACAGATGCAGAAACTGAAATCAGGCGCATTTAAAGAGCAAGTCATTTTCCTCTGGCTGTACATCACAGCCAGCCTACCGGTTTTGCTCTCTAGTTCAATATGATCATTGCTGACCAGGGAAAGAAGTGGTACTGCAAAGTTTCATAAAATACCCAAAGTTGTATTGGGAGGGCTCATGAGGCTGGGCCTTGCCCCACTGGATGTACGTATAATCCTGCCCAGGCATCATCTGCTCTGCTGTGCTGGTGCCAGCGGAAGGGTGAGAAACGTGCAGGGTCTGTTCCTACCTGGTGTAAGTGGTTTTCTTCTCAACTATATCAGACTCATAGAATCGTTTTGGCTAGAAAAGACCTTTAAGATCGAGTCCAACCATTACCCAAGCACTGCCAAGACCACCACTAAATTGTCTCTCTCAGCACCACATGTACACGTCCATTAAATCCCTCCAGGTATGGTGACTCCATTACTGCCCTGAGCAGCCTATTCTGGTGCTTGACAGCCCTTTAGGTGAAGATATTTTTCCTAATATCCAAACTACATCTCCCCTGATGGCACTTGAGGCCATTTCAGTAGCTGCATTTCACAGTTCCAGTTTGGAGCCGGCTCTCTTCTGGGCTAATCCTTTGCTGCACTGTGGCATATAATCATACTTTTCCTAAGAAGAACAGTGTCAGCCCAAGAGGCCACCAACACAGTCTGTTCTACCAAAGGCGGTTGCTCACCCCCCTCTCTGAGGGCAGAGCTTCTTCCAGTGGCTGGCTCAGGTTCCCCAGTTCCATGCAAGAGATGCACCAGCAGTGCCAAACCTACTTCTCTAATGCATCTTAAATTGAAAACAGGAAGTGAATTGCTCACTTGGCTGCCTACCTAGTGTGAGGGGAGAGCTGCATGCACCCAGGGGAGATGTCATCTCCCTTTGCGTTATGTTCAGACAATACAGGCTCTGGCAGATGTGGTTGAGCACCAGGAATCCTCGCACACCTAAAACGTCCTGGAAGGACAGTGTGTCAGTGAACACACTCACATGCACATACTGGGTGCAAGCAGAATCCGTGAGGTTTTTCAGAACACAACTGTAATCAGTGCAATGAAAGTTCCTGTACAGCCCCTGGGTATCTTTCAGTGTAATGAGGTGACTGGCTGAAAAGCACTTGAGAAGCTTTACAAAGCTAAGAATGGATTTACCCCCAGCTACAACCGGCTGTTCTGGAGGGACGCAAGGGGGGAATTGCTCAGACTCGCAGTAAGACAAGGGAAGATGCTGCAGACCCAGCTCCTATCCTGCCTTCTTCAGCTCCACAGTTTTCAAACTCAGGTTTGGCAATGGAGGAACCTTATACGAGGAAAATATATTTAGTGTAATCCGTGTCCCTGCTTTGCAAGGCAGTAAACCTTGTACTGCAGTGTTCACCTAACAGCGAGAACTTTCTGGGAGCTCTCTAGCTGGGTCTGTTAAGGCATGCCAAGGATCTTTTACTGCTGCTAATCTTCTAATCATTTAATGGCTCCCTCCAGTTAGGGTATGAATCAGCAGTAGGTGTAACATCACTGCACATCACTGGAAACGGAGCTCGTCCTTCCCCTCCAGCAAAAAATCCACAGTCTGCAGCACTTCATGGAAAAAGTGGGAACTTCTTTGCATGCTGAGTTAGTCACCATGGATGAACCAGTGGTGACAACCTCATGGCCCTGCAAGCAGGAACAAATACATTTGTAGAAGCTACAAGGCTTCTACTAAGCCAAACTCCAACCTTCCCGCTGTTTCAGTGCACAAACTAGCCACCCATGATCTAGACATACAGCCAAGTCATTTGCAGCAGGAAGCAGCTGATGTCCCCTTCTCCCTCTCTAGAGCCTGTTCGCCCTTAGCTCCATTTCTCTGCTCACTCTTACCTGTCTTGAAGAAGTGTGTGTGAGCTGTGTCTCTTCCTGAAGCAGTTTTCTGAACTGATTGTAAGCTTTTAAGGAACTATGTTTTCTCCCCCTCAGATCCTACATGTCATTCCATGTCATGGAATCATAGAATAGTTAGGGTTGGAAAGGACCTTAAGATCTTCATGTTTTTCCATCTCTGTCTCACCCAACCACTCAGACAAAATCTGCATCATAGCAAGACATAATAAACCACTGCATCCTCTTTGGAGGCCTTTAATAAATAAGTGGTAAAATGGTGCCAGATCTGTGCATCAGGGCTCAAGAGACAAGGACTGTGTTTCAGGGCTGATGTTCCTACAGCACGACTAAAAGACTTGGTGCAGTTTCTCAGGCTGGCAGCTGGGGATCTGACCTTCTCAGCTGTTGCAGGGTCTTTGTATTGTTATAAACCAGAGAGTGAAACACAAGAAAAACTGACATGGATACTGTGAATTGTGGAAGCGTGGTTAGCAGACAAAGGTCACGTTCCCTTGACTAAGCTTGGTCAGGGACCAGTTCTGTAATGATGGACACAAGAAGCAATCTCAGCTGTTTGGTCTTAGCCGAACTCTGAGGCTTGTACTGAAGTTACCCAGGCTGCAAGGCCTAACCTTAGGTTATTAAGGGTCAGCTACGTGCAGTAGGACGAAGAGTCTTAGTAAGTGAGAAACAAAGAGGTTTGGTAAGTCGCTCAAGGTTAGCAGGATGTAGGAGCAGGATGGTGAAGTTGCAAGAAGCACGCTAAAAGTAGCAAATGTAACAGAAGGCAGAATTTTCCCACTCGCTTCTAATCTTCCAAGAATGTGTGTATGTAGCAGTTTAATAGTACATATACCCTGGACTTAAGCAGAATGAACGGATCACTTTTATCAATCGTATTGATTGTGCTGTGTTCCCTCCGCATCGCGACGACAGGAGTCTCCAACAGTGAATTACAGGCTGTGGATAATACAGGGATTTAATCCTCTTTAGCTCTGGTGAGCAGGTTGGTATGACATTTAGCTCCAGAAAACCACTCCTGTTGTAAAAGCGACCTCTGCCTTGCCAGTTCCTCTTTTGTAGGAAACTGGTTCTGTGGGAGAGCATAGGAACTAAAACAGAACATAATCCCTATGTCTTAATACCATCGTGCATGAGTCACCCTGACAAATTAAGTAGCTGGCTGTGTTACTGCTCGGCAATTTAAACATTCATTTCATGCTTGACAGGAGAAAACATTGCACAGAGTAGCAGTCCAGTAGACATGCAGGGAAATGAGATGGGAAATGGCCTGTGGCCATTGAGTACTTTCTCCAGTCGCAGGTTTGCAGTTGGACTTCCATGGGATTTCAGGCAGAGCATTGCTTCTTTTTAGTGGCACCTTCTGCATCATCTTGGGCACAATTTGGTGAAGAGATTCTTCTGGGGGATGGAAATCACCCCGTGTGCTTCTACATCTCAGCTAAGGACTTCTTCAGGCTTTACACAGAGTACTTGAAATGAGAGGGGAGGGAAAAATAGTGAGTCCATTGACTTTTAATCCCAGCTTTCAACTTCTTAACTCTGCTGCCCGTTACATTTTGTTTCTAGGGCAAAAAGCAGGGCCACACTATGGCTAACACAGAAATGTAATCCCCCCTCCTCACAATCTCTCTGTGGAAGAGGAATAGATGCAGAACTGCTTATAAAAGTTACCATTAGAGCACTTTTATCACTGTTTCATGGCTAATCTTCCCTGCCAGCAAGGGGCAAAGCTCCCACCAAGCTCTCTTTGGCATAAACCAAATCCTCCCACCCCCAAATAAATACATCAACCACTGGCTCTCCTTTACCTCTGCTTTGACAGCGGGGCAGGGCCTGATGCAGGAGCTGTGTTGACGTAGTCTGGCTCATCATCCAGGCTTTCTGTCTGCAGAACTGCAAGTGAGGGATGGGAAGCACTGATCAGTGAGTGGGTTGATCTAAAAAACACATTCACACCAGAGACATGCTCTGTGCCCTGCCAGTGTTTAGCCTTTGGTGACAATGTGGCTTTGTGCCTGGGCTAAGAAACCTCAGATCAGCATCAAGGTCTCCTTGAAGGGGATTCAAAATGGTCACAGCAAGCAGTGAGCATGGACAGCTTTTCAGAGCCAAAAGAGATGGCTAGATTTAGTTTAGAGAGTGTGCAAACAGGATAACAAAAATCACTTTACTTACACAGCTTCCAGTCCAGAGACAGAAAGCTCTTGTATATGCATGTATATGTTCACCACTATCTCCCAGGACAGCCTATCAATAAGCTTCATAGGAAGCCACATGTTAAACTGCTGTTTAAAGGTTAGCTTAAGAAATGTGAACCCCTGACTACTGCAGGACAGTGCTGGGCTGACCAGTGTTGTTCAGAGTGTTGGGATGTGCATGCTGCACATTTCTCTGTCAAAGGGGATTACAAGGCTGAGCTTGCACTAGGGCAACTTCAAAACCTAAGAGGGTATAAGACATGAAGAGCAACATCCTCCTGTAGCATCCCACAGGGCAGGGTTTAGGCACAGCCACCTACAGAGTAGCCTTTTGAGTACTAGAAACACCACACCGCCCCACAGCAGTATTCAAGTACGAGTGCATGTAGCCATTTGCACATTGCCTTATGTGTTAAACACAGATGACTGGGGGGGGGGCAAATAAGACGGGGGCAATGGCTGCATTGCTGTGAGCATGGTCTGTACTGCTCAAGAGCCCATGAGCCCCATTCCTGCTTAGCAGACAATTGCTGGGAACATACCTTCTGCCTGATGGAGTTGCCATGTGTATATTGCCGAGCTGTTCTCATAGTCTGCAGCATCATCTGTGACCAAGAAGAGTTTGGACAGGATGATGCTGAACAGCAAAGGGACTAAAAATGGGCCTTTGTGACACCCCCCTCCTACCGCCCCATGCACGTGGCTGAGTTTCCAGCCAGGCGGCTGCTGTCCTGCCCTACATCTGCTGATGCTGCCTCATTGCTTTTCCAGCCTCGACCACGTGCCTGGGTATCGGCACGCACAGATGGGATCAGGCTGGTCCCTGCTGCTCCTGCTTCCCCTAATTCCTCTGGTGGGAGCAGGGCAGGCTTTAGCACTGCAGAGAGCGTTGTGTTAAATCTCTGACAGAAACCAAATTGACTTCCTATTCTGATTGCAACATCCCAGGGCAGAAGCTGGAAGCCCTTAAGCTGACATTGTGGTCCAATGCCACCCTCCAGCAGCTCACTGACTGCAGGCTTCTTGGGCTGGACATGGTGACGAACCCCATGGTGAGCTGGGGGCTAGAACTGTGATCAGTCTTGGCTGTAACAACACTCAAAACCTCGAGGAGCAATGCAGCCCCCAGACTGCTGCAGAAACATCCAAGTCAAAGGGATCAGTTGGAGATGAGCTCTCATCCCCTAAGTATTATCACATGCATCTTCCTGCAGGAAGCAGAAACACTTCAGGTCTGCTCTGTGCCTGCAGCAGCCCTGGCACCCTGGCTACAACAGGAAGAGCTGAGCCTGTGAATGAGGAGGGTTTCCTGAGCTGAGCAGGTCACCCTCCCTCTCTGCACTCCCAGGTGTGTGTGACACACGTGAACCACAACAGCAGCACTTACCCAGGTCAGAGCCCTGAGACGCTCCAATGATGATGTTTTGGTAGGAATGGGAATCCTCCTCTTTTTCTGGTGGAGATAAGAAAGGGGAAGGGACAAAGGACAGAAGGAAGAGTAGGTGAAGATCCCTCAGCACCTGCAGGAGAGGGCTGTTTCCCACAGAGAAACACACATTAGGTAAAACCCATCAGTCTTTGTGACAGCCTGTGCTGACCCAGGGATGGGGCATCCCCAGCGTATGTGTCATTGAAGCACCATGGGAACACCATCACCAACAGCATGGAGCCACCCAAGGGCAAGCAGTGGAAGCTGGTCCTGAGGCACGAGGACTTTCCCTATGGACAGGAATAAACCAAATAAGCAGAATTACCAGCCCTACAGCAGCCCTGAGGTGAACAGGGGAAGATGAAGAGTGAATCCCCAGGTTCCCAGCGCAGGCTGGCAGTCAGAAGGGGTTTTTCCTTCCTGGGGAGCATTAAGTTTGCAACTGTGAAGTCGTCTTGGGCTTCTTGGTTCATAGAATCATAGAATAGTTAGGGTTGGAAAGGACCTTAAGATCAAGTTCCAACTCCCCTGCCATGGGCAGGGACACCTCGCTCTAAACTATATCGCCCAAGGCCTTGTCCAACCTGACCTTGAACACTGCAGGGATGGAGCATTCACAACCTCCCTGGGCAACCCATTCCAGTGCCTCACCACCCTAACAGGAAAGAATTTCCTCCTTATATCCAATCTAAACTTCCCCTGTTTAAGTTTGAACCCGTTACCCCTTGTCCTGTCACTACAGTCCCTAATGAAGAGTCCCTCCCCAGCACCCCTATAGGCCCCCTTCAGATACTGGAAGCTGCTATGAGGTCTCCAAGCAGCCTTCTCTTCTCCAGGCTGAACAGCCCCAACTTTCTGAGCTGATCTTCATATGGGAGGTGCTCCAGTCCCTGATCATCCTCGTGGCCTCCTCTGGACTTGTTCCAACAGATCCATGTCCTTTTTATGTTGAGGACACCAGAACTGCACACAATGCTCCAAGTGAGGTCCCACGAGAGCAGAATAAAGGCGCAGGATCACCTCCTTTGACCTGCTGGTCACGCTCCTTTTGATGCAGCCCAGGATACAGTTGGCTTTCTGGGCTTCTTAGTTTCTAGGAAGAAAACTGAGCCCCATTCCAAACACATCAAATCTAACAGCATCTGGAACCAAAATCAGCTTGGAATAATTTAAAACTCCTGACGCCTTTATTCTGTTGCTGGTTATTTAAGTCCTGGATGGGCCCATGAGCAGCTGAACCATATATTGCTAACCTCCAAACCCGCACCCACTGGTGCCAGCACCACCACTGACACACAGCCCTTGGTTTGGACACGGCCCCTAAGCTGGGAAACTTTACAGACCCCATAAGCACCACTGCAGCCCACCCTGGGACCCTCAGTGCTTCTCCAAAGCCTCACTGGTGGGGAGCAGCACCGAGCTCAGCCAGGACAGGCAGTCCCTGAGGGGTGAGGGCTCTGCTGTCTAAAACCATGCTGGGCAGGAGCGGAGGGCATTAGCCAAAGGAGCCACTCAGCCCAGCTCTGCAGCAGCTTCACACGTGCATTGGCTCTAGGCAGCCCTCAGCCACTCGAAAAGCATTACAACTAATAAGGGATACAAACCCATTCATGTTAATAACAGGGCAGTTTCTATTTCTCCCCTGCAGCCTCTTTTTTTTTAAATAAGGTAAATTTTTTGGTAAGCAAGGTATTTTTCCTATTTTTTTGTTAATCTCATTTTTTTTTATGCCCTCCCCCCAAGCCTCTTTATATAAAAATAGGATTCCCGCTTTGAAATTCACTTTAGATAAAAATAGATCAGTGTTCGAGTCAGTCCAGAGAAGTGCTGGGTACCCAGGGAGGTGGGAACATTGCAGAGATGCAGTATTGGCCTTGCAAAAATGCACTTGTATGGAGCAGTGTGTTTCATCCCACTTCCACTCACCGGCTCCATAAACCAATCACACAAAATGTCTGAAGGTGTTCCTTTGGCAAAAAGCTTTGGGATGAGGATGTGCCCATTCCCACGCTTTCAGCCAGGCCCATGTGGGGCTGCAGCCTCTGCTCACACAAACCAGACTGGGCTAAGAAGAGGGAAACGGCCTCACTGCCCTGAATGGTCTTGCAGTGATGGATAATTTGGTGCTGAAACAGACTAAGAACAGTGTTTTGTGCAGTTAGAACCAAGAATAAACTTGGGCTGTCCTGATACAGCCGAGAGAGAGACTGGTCGGGGCTTGGGCATCCTTCAAGCACCACAGCTCCACTACACCCCTCAGTGAACACGATTCCTGGATTCATGCTTGCTTCAAGCCATATGGCAATAGTACACAGACCTGGACAAGAAGAATCTTGTGAGCTCCCTGAGGCACCACAGCTAGGCTTGTGGCCTGAGAAGAAACCCATCTCACTCACATGGAGGCCTTACCATTGGGTGGTGTGAAGAGCGTGGCACTGTTGTAGTAATCCAGAGATATGGGCTCCCTGCAGGAAGAGCAGCCAGAGTTAGCTCCTCTTGCCCACAGCCTGAGCTAGAAGAGAGATAGGGCTGCACTGGGACCAGTACGGCTCTGCTCCATCATGCTGGTGGGCAGCACCCGGCTACTTACACATAGGCATCATCACCTTGCAGGCAGTCTTCTGCAAGCACAAAGGGTTTGCCGTCAGCATGGATACCACTGCACGGACCCAAACCAGCATCCCAAAGCAAATGCCCCAGGCACAGCTAAAGCAGATGTCCCCGGCACAGCCCCCAGAACCATCCACACGCAGAGCCAGGAGGCTGGAGCAGGGGGAGGCAGCCCCGAGAAAACCAGGGCTCATGGACAGATCCTGCCAGCTGGCAGGGAGATCAGGAATATTCTCCCTAGTTTGGGAAAGGAGAGCACAGCCCCATGCACCAGTAATCCTCTTAGAGTCAGCGTGTCTTACATGCAATCACTACACTAACCAAGCCCAGCTGCAGCACTGGCTGCCTGCATGTGCCCATTAGTTCCCATTCCTGTAACTTCCCATCACCTTCCCTCCCCAGACCCCTGGGCTGTAGCATTTACCTGTCCAGAAATCCCGATACCTGGACTCGGCCCTGCTCCCTGGGGAAAAGCAGAGGGATGCCTTACACTCAGGCTGACCAATGGGAACAGTTCAATGATGGAGCCACTGAGCATGCTGGCATCAGCAGCTTTGTCCCCACACGGCTCTCTGGGGCCAGGGGACACGGCTGCAGGACTGGATGCCCCAGATACTGGGACAGCCAGGGGTGATACTTGGAATAACCTGGCCCTGTGGCTCTAACCAGGACTGCTCAGCACTGGATTTTCAACTCAGACCCAGGCTAGGTCCTGTTAAGCATCACTGTGCAGCACCATGAGTAGGTGCTACTAACAAGAGTGAGCTTTATCATCGCCTATCTTGTTCCCAGGATAACACCCCACTGCCCTGCCTGGGTCTGGCCGTGAGTAACCAGCCTTGCAGAGGCTCCATCTTCCCAGTGGGAGCTCCCAGCCGGCACCTACACAAAAGAGCCAGGATTCGCAACATCCCCATTTAGGAATTCTGTGGTAGGTGCTCCCCTGTCGATGGGGAGAGCATCGCACCAGCGCCCGTCCCAGGGGGATGCTCACCGTATCCAGCGTGATGGGTGGCACCGAGCTCCTTGGTGGTTTTCCTGACAGAGGGAAAAAGGAGCTAAAATTCCAGGTTGTGCAAACAGCAACAGGGTTACAAACCACAGCAGTGACTAAGCCAGAAAGACCATGTGTGAAACCTGCCTGCAAGGTTATAACAGGATACACATCGAGCAATATGAGATGAAGAGTTTGGAGTCAAATCCCAAGATGTGCTTGAATACTGCTGCGGGGTTGTTGCAGCCATGGAGTTCAGGAGGGGGTTGGTGACAGGGAGAAGGGGATTTCTTGTGCCAAACTGCTTATAAGCAAAGGATGGCCACTTCTTTTCCATGATGTGCCTGTTGTGTCCAGCCAGAGCTCATTTCCTTGGGTTCAGGTTAAATAGTTGCCAGTAGAATGCAGCCAAACTGCAGAAAATCCAGAAAAAGCCTAAACCCACTATTGACCATCAATAAATTAAGCAATCTGGTCTAGCTGAAGATGGCAATGCACATGGCGGGGGGGGGGGGGTGGACTGGATGAGCTTTGAAGGTCCCTTCCAACCCAAACTGTTCTATGATTCTTACACCATCATAGCCTAAGTCACATTTATATGGTCCAGAACCCAATCCCAAATCCAAAACATTTGCATATCTGGCTGAACTTATCCAACCTTGGCTCTGCAGCGGGATTGTGTTTGTTTGGGGTTTGTTACCTACCTCACTATTGATAAGTTCTCAGGTTCCTTAACTTGTTCCAGCCTTCGGGTCATAGCTAGCACCAGGAACAAAACAGGGTGTTAATGGTCCGTGTAGCAGCCGGTGTTTCAAAGAGCACAGAGCATCCACTACAGCGGATCCCATGGTGCTGGCCAGCATTCTTCTAACACACCCCAAAACAGCTTCCAAAGCGTTCTTTTCAAGTTCATAAATGGCCAAAAAGGAAACAAATGGAGGGAAAGCTGGTGTCTGTGCAGAGGGCTGAGCTGGCAAACACACACCAGAGGAAGCTCCAACCCCAACTGCTGCCTTATTGCCTGCTCTCCCCCAAACCTGTTTGATTTGGAGCCTTTCCCCTGCTCAACACCCCTCCCTTCACACTGCAGGATGCATCAGTACGTTGTGATGCTGTGGTATGGCTGGGCTGAAGCAGACTTGCAGGGGGTTATGGAGCTCGGACCCAGCCAGGTCCCAGGAATGGGGCCCTGCAGATGGTGACATTTAACACAGACCCACCAGCAGCTCGCATTGGGATCACAATCAAAAGGTCAGTGTCTAACCCAGCTTGCTGCAGGAAGCAGGAAGGGGGCGATGGTTAATGACTCACTATCAGTTTGGGTTCCCTCACGCTGTTGTTTGCACAGGGTGAGCAGAGCCGTTTGAAGAGCCCCAGTTAATAAGAGACTGCGCTTTGATGACACTGCTTCAGCGATCTATTTTCAATGCAAAGGGAGATTCTCCTCCTAGAGCTCAGAATTCACACACCTAGGAGCATCTAAGGTGGCTTTTACAATCTCAGTCCTATGGCATTTCATCGTCTGTCTTCAAGGTGACTCTATTTTTACTTCCTCCCCATTCTGTTCATGGAGGACCTGCCCCCTGCAATGTAGGAGCCCCTGCAATGATCATACTCACTGGAATGGGATCGGATCACCTCAAAACTCTGCCGGCTTCTGAGCCTGGAAAAAACAGAGGTATAAACTCAGCTGAATTTTGGGGTCTATGCCGAGGGAAGCAAATGCAAGAGACCTCCCTGTTTGGTGAGTGGAGGGAGGAGAACACAGCCTCCACAGTGGACTGGATGAAACACAGAGGGAGCATCACTCAGCACATCATTCAGGGCCTGTTAGGAGCTGGAAACAGTGTCCCAGGCTCCAATTTGTCCCTTTAAAGTCAAGATGTGCTTATGGGCCACTGGAAGAGCAGCCAACGTCAGCTCAGAGAAAGACTTGGGATGAGGAAAACATCACTTAGGATAATTCCTGTTCTTACACTTAATGAATGGGTTAAGGCCAGAAGAGTATTTTCACCCACAAAAAACTTGGGTGTTCACCCATGAAATGGCTTCAAACCCCACTGATTCACCTCTGCCACCGTCCCCACCCCTCCCAACATCCCTTAACATGAACTTGAAAGCAATAACATACAAGATCAACAATAATAACACAGATGCCCAGTATCCACGTTTTAGTTAACACAAGAGCTGCTCTTTAGAGCACAAGAGGATTCAACAGCTCTTCCACTGCAGGTGCATATGGGTACCTATTAACTCCGATTTTGGGACCTGAAAGCGTCCCCTTCCTCCCCTTTCCCCTGGGTCACCCTCTGTCCCAAGCTGGCGTTCATAGCACTGAGCTGGCCATGGTAGATGAGGTGTCCAAGGACCTCACTGCAAACATAGGGTTAACCTACTCTGCTTGCAGAAAGCCTGAACTACCCCAAACCAGCTCTCTAACAGGAGCAGGCACCACCACGAGCCTGAAACCAAACCACCTCAACCAGGTATCAGATCCAAGGAGTCAGGACAATTCAACACAAGCCCATGGGGAACGGAGCCTGCGCTGGCTTTAACATTGGTCTGCAGTGGACCACATCAGAGCTTTCACCCATCCTCAGCAAGCAGAGCCAAAACAAACACCCTGACCCCACACAGGCCTTGCAGAGCCCCTCTGCACCGTGTTTACTTCTATATCAGAGGTTACAAGCCAGCTTTTTCACTCTTTCCTTTTATCACCAAGCTGTGGTTTGTCTGTTGCTGGGGTGCGGTGTGTACAATGCATTTCCTTCGCTGCCCGTGCTGCAGGTCAGTGGTTGCTGTGGCTCAGGGTCCCACCAGCACCAGCCAAGGGCCTTGTTTATGAAGTTACCAACCTCTCTACCTTATCTCGGGGCACAACAGGGCAGGATAAGGACTTGCCCTTCCAGTTCTCACAGAGCTTCTCCCAGCTCCTGAATGACTCGCAGGAATCATGGTCAGAGCTGCAGTGTCAGTTTGGGTTATTCCTTTCTGCAGCCCCCAGGCTGGGACACGCTGCCCTGCATTCCCCATTCTGGGGTTATTTTATCCCAGTTGTGACCCATGGAGTGGGTCTGGCTCTGGCCAGGTCTCACCCTGAGTGAGCTGTCTGGGGAGAAAAAACAAAGGATTGGGAAAAGCAACTTACTGGCTCCTCTGGTCATTCAGCTGCTTCTCTCGCTGCGTAGCTGGAAGACAAGGAGAAAAAAGCCCTTAGAAAGCAATCAACTGGGAGTTAAAGATCAGAAAGACCAATAAAACACATTCACAAACCTTCCTCACCCAGGAGCATGCAAGGACAGCAGAAGCTGCAGTCATGATGTGGTTTTGACTGATGCTTTTAAACTGTGCTTGTATTATCTCAGACACCAGAGCAAGTGACCCATTCCTGTCCCTGAACTGCAGCCTCTCTGCCCCAGTAAAGCCCACACTGTGCTCAGAGGTGGGCTCAAACCCCCACTAAGGTGGGTGCTCACCCATTCTCTTTGTACTTAGTGTCTATCTGAATTCATCTCCCAGACTCTCCTCCCGTGCTTCCCCTCCTCCTGCCCATGTGCCTCAGAGCCTCTGCATCCGGAGATGCTCCTCCTGGGTGGGTTTTCCCAAAGCCACCCACCACAGTGACCAGGGAGGGGGGTCTGCAGCCCAGGGTGTTGCATCCACCCCAGGGAAGGGATGCTGTGAATCGGGGGATCCTTACCCCAGTTGCTCTGTGGCCACCAGCAGAGACCCTTCAGAAACCTTAGAGCATCCCTGCAAGGGCAAAGCTCCTTGAGCTGGCACAGGGCTGAGCAGAACCAAACCCCCCTCCCCCCCCCGGAGGGGATAAAAGACCAAAGGGGTGCACAGGTCCACAGGCAGCACCCAAAGCACATGGTCAGGGTCTTACCTGAGCGCTGGCACTTGGCACAGATGCTGATGGCAGCCCCCAGCAGCATCAGCGTGGCGGCTGCCCACAGCAGCTCCATCTGCACCATGGCCTGGCCTCATCCAGCCTGAAACAGAGCAGCAAGGGTAGCCTGTGAACACTGGCATGCTTCCACCCCCCAAACACATGCCCTTTGCCTTCACAGCCCCAAAGGGCCTGGTGCTTGCTGAGGGTGCAGGACAGGCTTTAGGGTTGCGTTACAGGGCGGCAGAGCAATGCCCTTTCCCACTGCTCTGGTCCAGGGCCTGTGCTCCAGTGCTCCACTAAGACCTGGAGCTAAACCCCCATTTCACTGCAGAGAAAGAAAAGAGACTCATGAAGATTGCCTCAGGACACTAGCACAAAGAGGAAAACCACACTCGGATCTGCTCCTTCCCACTCCCATAACACACTTTGCCATCATCAGACATTGTCAGAAGATACCATCTGTTAGTATCTGGAAGAGAGGGCAAAAAGGGCACCTTTGAGTATTCTCAAGTGCCTCCAAGACCTTTGTACCAGAAGCTTTGGCTGTTTCCCTGCAGCACGGAGTTACTTTAAATGTTAAATCCCTCACAGTTTTTCCTGCCTTGGGCTGGCTCAGACACCAGCTCTTCCCCTCCCTTCCATGAGAGGCTCTTCCACAAACAGCAGCCAACATTTTGTAATGATCAGCATGATTTGGCTTCAGTTTCTTCCTTTAAAATACAAACCACCCTATAAATACCCCAGCAACCGCCTGCTGGGAGCGAGAGGGATCCCTTCACCCATTGCTATTCCCCAGGGATGGATTTTTCTTTACTTACAGATTATTTTAATCTATTTTTGGTTTTTAATAAACTTCTCCTTTGGCCCCGAGGGATGGGGAGACTTCAACTTGCCAAAGGCCAGGACGTCGCTGCTCTGCCTGGCAGGAAGATTTCCTATTGCCTAACTGGAATCTCCCTTATTACAATTTAAGCCTGTACTGTACTGGTATAGCCACTGTGGTTAAAAGGAGGAAATGTGTGTATATAGATTGGAGGCAATACAGATATATGCAAAATAATTACAATAATTAAAACTATTTAAACAAATAGCAATAAAAGACAATAGCAAACAGCCTCTTGGTTCTGCCCTGCTCAGCACCATCTGCCTCTGTGTGTGTAAAGTAGAATAAAGAACAATTCTCTGCCCAAACTCAGATTCCCCATTCACTGTGGAGAAAACTCTTCCTGCAGCAGCCCAGCCCTCAATGCTGACCAAGCATCCTCCTGCCCATGCCAGTTGCTCAGTGCTGTAGCCAGGGATGCTGGTGGAAGGTTTGTTGTCCAGATTGGCATTGGAGTCCTAGCGCTATGCCACTGTCATAATGACCATGGTGTAAATCAGTGTGAGGCAGAGGAAACAAAGGAAAGACCCAGTCTCCCATTTCTGCTTTGGACAGCCCCTTGAGCACAGCATTGCTTTGCCCCTGCCAGGACGGAGGGATTGCAGAAGGACAGGATGACGTTTGGTGTCAGCATCCCCTCAGTGATGCCCACACACAGTCTGGCTGCCCAAAAGTGACCCCACACCCAGCATATCTCTGCTTGTGAGCAAAGTGGGTCTAGTATCTTCCAGTATCGGAAGGGGGCCTACAAGGATGCTGCGGAGGGACTCTTCATTAGGGACTGTAGTGATAGGACAAGGGGTAACGGGTTAAAACTTAAACAGGGGAAGTTTAGATTGGATATAAGGAAGAAATTCTTTCGTGTTAAGGTGGTGAGGCACTGGAATAGGTTGCCCAGGGAGGTTGTGAAAGCTCCATCCCTGATGGTGTTCAAGGCCAGGTTGGACAGAGCCCTGGGTGACCTGGTTTAGTGTGAGGTGTCCCTGCCCATGGCAGGGGGGTTGGAACTGGATGATCTTAAGGTCCTTTCCAACCCAATGATTTCTATGATTCTATGATTTCTGCTCCATTCGAGGCTGCCTTGAAGGGCTCACAAGGACACAGCAGCTCCTGGCACTCACTGCACTGTGGCTTTGCTCTTTATAAACTCCCCAGGGGCCTTTCCCTGCAGTTTCTTGCAGCACATTCTGAAGATGATGGGATGAGTTGTGTTAAATTAGCAGCATGGCCAGAATGCCATGGACCTGCCCCAGGGCTGCGGGACCAGCACCCAGTCAAAACCATACGGTTTATCACATCATTTTTCCTTGGCTCAGCATCCCCCGTGGAAATCATGAGCTGTGGATCATCTCTAAAGCATCTGCAAGAGGAAGCTAAGGGAAGCTGACCCTATGCTAGTGATGGAAATTTATTATACGAAGGGCTGTAACACTGCTGGTGTAGTTGTGGGTTTGGGGGGGTTTGGGTTTCCCCCCTCTTTTTTCTTTCCTTTAAAGAAAAGATCAGAGCTGAAGGCACCTGACAACACTGACCCCTTTTGTACTGGTACAGGGCAGGCTGCCATCTCCCTTCTACAGCTGGGTTTGTTTCTGCAGTGGGGCAGTAACACCACAAACCCAGGCTGCTCCCAAGCCCCTCACTCAACGGGAACACCAACAGTGGATATTTGCAGTGATGCCGAGCAGGGCACTACACATCCCATCCCCATCACAGCATCCCCCATGGAGAAAGCTCCTGCAGACACCAAGCCAGAAGCACAGTGCCAGCCCAGGGGCTGTTATTTGTGTTCACCAAACACTCAAGTGCAGGGATATCCTCTCTTTCAGCCCAAAGCTCCTCTCGTAAGGAGCTGATGGGAGGAGGTGATGAACAGATTTAAGATGAGCAGACGGCTGGCAACATATCAATGCAGTATTTGGAAGGATGAACGTGCTTTCCCTGCTCCCTGCCTTGGGGAGATGGGAGAGGAGAAAACACAAACTCAAGCTGCCGAGGTCTGTGATGAGGCCTGAGTGCATCAGAAGGATGCACCAAGTTAATGACTTGCTTTCAAGATGCTAAATTCAAACATGGGGAGAAAACAGGTTCGCCTCTACCTCCAGGAGTGACACTTGGATGGTGTCGAAATGCCCTGTTCTGTTTATGCACTTCTCTGTTCTCCTTTTCTATTGGTTTTTCCCCACCATTTCGTGCTGACAGAAGTTCCTCCTTGCATGAGGAAGCTGGTGCAGCCACAGCGCATGCCTCTGGCACCAACCCTGCCAAGTCCCCCAGGAGCAGCTGCTCCCAATAGACAATTCCAGGGAGAACATCACACTGGAGGCTGGGTAAAGCCCAACAGCACAGCACCTCACCTGCGAGGGGGAAGCACACCTTCTGCACAGGGGTTGCTCTTTTCATGGCCTCGGGTATTCACAGCAATCAAAGAGACAAACAGGGTTTATGATGGGAAGAATGAATTTGCCTATGATGATTCCCTGTGTATGTGCCAGTCCCATCAGCTGGTGTCGAGGGTTTCTAGTCCTAAATGAAGGATTAAACCCAGTGACAGGGCCTACTATGAACAGCCAAGGGAAGGAGAGGTTGTTTTACCAGCGAAGAATGGAAGGTCTCTCACTTTTAAGCCTACTAAAGCAGTTGAGAGTGCAGGGACACTAGAGTGAAAGCACGTGGATATTCACTGTCAATCTGTCCAAGAGCAAAACACCAAAGTGAGAAAAGCTGTTATTTAAATAAGAGAATACTGGCTTCTAAAATGAGTGGCTGTAAGGGGGATATGTACAGCCTAGAAAGAAAGTTCCTAGTGGATGGAAAGCCTGGAGGATCTTTCCAAGGGCAGCAGAAGAGGCAGAAAGCCCACTTAAAAACCCTTTAAGAGCATTTTAACCATACTTAAACTCTTTGATGAAAGCCCAGGAGAGTGTGGAATGTGTTGATGTAGCAAAAAGGGCTTGTTTTCTGCAAGATCACCCTTAATGAAGTCATTTCAGCCCTTTGCAGGCACCAAGCACACCCCTCAAAGCCTCTCAGGTTGTAAGAGAAGGACTGAAACTGCAGGTCTGTACCATATACCCAACCTAGCTGTAAAAACGAACACCCCAAAGGCAAACACAAAGCAGCCATCGCATGTCCCCTCCAGAAAGCTGTGTGCTCTGCACCAGTTTGCGATAGATCCAGACTCATTCGGACTGATTGGATGAATCACGGCAGGAAATACAGAGCCGGGGGTTTATTTAGAACCTCGCCATATGAAATTAGCACAGGGACTCCTCGCACAGACGCAACGCTCACCCTGACTCAACGCCTCCAAGGAAAGAAACACTGCTTTCTGTTTGTCTGCTTGCACGGATTGCCCCAGCGAGTCCCATGGATGGAGGAACTGAAGTCTCCAAGGGAGCTCCTGGGGTTGGAACCACTTCAAGGAGCAGAAAAGCTCCTTTCCAAAGGCCTCCATGTCCCATTTCCCACCGGTTTTCTTAGGAAAGCTGCTGCTGTATAGATAAAGTCTGGTTTTCTACAGCTATTCAATTCAAGCAGAGCATGCTTCACTGTATACCAGGGGAGCAGTAGATGCATTTCAATAGAACACAGGACAAGAGAGAAAATAGGAATTGATAGATCAGCTTTCACATAGATCATCACTTCGTAAAATGCTTTAAAACACCTCAGGTGGGAAACACAGCACAAAATCCTAATCACAAGCAGCAAGGCAGCAGAAATACCTTGTATTTACCCTTAACTTCCCCCGTTTCAGGCAGCATGAAAGCCATGCAGCATCCTTCACCGCTGCTGTGGAGTCCGGGGGCATGCCATGTTAGGAACTGCAGATACGGACAACCCACATGGACGTACTCTTATGTAGTCCAGAGCAATGAAATCAGCTAATATCACACAAAATTATCCCAAAATTATCCTGTTCTGCTGAAGTGTCTACTTTTCGGCCTGTGTTACACTGCACATTGATCACAAGAGAAAACTGCTGCAGAAACAAAGCTCTTTTCATCCAGGATTAGCAATTTCAAGCATTTATATGCAGTAAAAGACATACACTCATATATCTAATGCCAGTCAGCCCTGAAAGTGCTGGAAAACCCAGAGAGCGGAGCTCAAGTCAGCTATTATGTAGGATTGGGCTTTGGAAGGGGAAACAGAGCAGGCTGCAGCAGTCCCAGAAACTATAGGCAGGAGCCAGCAGCAGGGCTGATGGGATGTGGGATGAGGGCAGCTCAGCCTCAGTCTTCTAGAATATTGCAGTAGAGGTGAACACAGAAATCATGTAACCGAAAACCATCACAGACGGAGTGGGGAGATGTACAGAGTAATCTTGTGAAACAGGTTGCAGGG